AWYRTYKYCTGTTGGGTGATATTTTCCTAGTTTGATAAAAAAAGCAAAGAGAAAGAAGGACAAATAAATTATTGCCCACACAAAATTCTTAACATTTCTCTTTGTTTATCTCCTTCTTTCCAGGGGTTCTGGAGAAACTATATTTTAAAATTCTCCTGTACTTCTGACCCCTCCTYAAAAACCAAAAGAGGGCCCATCAGAGTGATGAAACTGTATTCTGTTGGGAACCCATCATATGAACTTTCAATTCCTATTACAAACTGTAATGTCATAAACAAATAATGGTGCTGCATACTTTTTGTAAGCTTGATGTATTTGATGATAAGAATCTTTCTTGATAAAGGCAACTTCAACCTACTAGTCAGTACAACCTAGGTCCAAAAGCACTATGATTTACCTTCTTTGCCATCTTGTTATCATACCAAAAAGAGATTAYATGGTGCTTGTTTCATTATTGCTAATTGGTAAGAATCATCTTTTGATGTGGAAAAGAAGGTGCTGATGATCATGATTGATCTGAGCAATAAAATTATTCATCGCCAGTAATAATCTAATAATCACCATAGAGCAAATTTGCTGAATATGCTGGTGGCAAAAATACCATGGCAGTAAGATATCTCCCCATCCAGCTTCTTTGRTCCTCCAGTCCTACTAGTTGTAGTAGTAGCTATTGGTTTGGTACTGTCTCTCTAAATTATTTACTCCCATGAATAATTTGTAATTGTCTTTTGATAAGGAAAAGAAGAACATGCTCCTTATGATTGATCCAAGCAGTATTATTCACTAGTAGTACTACTAGTAGTCCTCCAGTCATAGTAGCTACTAACAAGAATGTCTTGTCTCAATTTTGGCTTCCTTGCACTAGTGACCAGCAATCATTTTTCACAATAAAAAGAAGGTGCTGCTGCTGATTGATCCCTTGTGATGGAAAGAAGGTGCTTCTGTTGATTGATCCAATCAGCATTGTTTACTACTAGTAGTACTAGTAGTCCTCCTCCAGTCATGATAGTAGCTAACTTGTTGTTGTTTGTAGTAWTTTTTAGTTTCCTTCCATAGTAACTGGTAGTACTACTAGCAATCATCTTTCCATGATGAAAAGAAGGTGCTGCTTGTCATTAATCCAAGCAGCATAATTCAATAGCAACAATTGTTGCCAGGAAGCAAATTTTCCCAACATGGCCAAGTCAAACAAATACCCTGCTGGCACCAGCAGAATAGGCAGTATATCCTCCACCAGCTCTCCATTCCTCCATTTCTCCCCCACTAATCAAGTCATCTGATGATAATGTAYTACGTCACATAGTACTACTAGTAGCTTGTTGTTTCAAAATTATTTGCTTGCATTAATACTACCAGTACTAGTAGTAGTCATCTTCTTGATTCTCTAATGAGSAGMRSASCACCAYMATWMTKCTGTTRWYAAMAWMMTYST